ATGAAGCAGGTATGGATCGGCAAGCTCTCATTCCATCGTATTATGAAACATGTAATTTTGTAGGAATATTACTGACATAAATTTGAATACCATACAGGAATTAAATATGAAAAATGGCGAGGTGTTCCTATTTTTATTACGCATGGATATGAATATTTTGTTGACATTATATAAAGAAGAAAACGATGTTCTGACATCACAAACTATTCTTATTTCGAAAATTCCTCATTTATTTGCTGCAGTATAAACGAACACACAAATTTGATGCCGAAGCAGGGTCGACAAGCTTTCATTCAATGTATTACGAAAATGCTTAATTTTGAAGGAATGTTACTGACATAAATTTGAATACCGTACAGGAATTAAATATGAAAAATATCGAGGTTCACCTATTTTTATTACGTACGTGATTTGAATATTTTGTTGACATGTGATTTTTAATAGTAGCATGAATTCGTCTGCTTAAATAATGATAAAGAGTTATGTCCCTTTATTTTCGGTAAAATGCCCGACAAGAAAAATTTTGAAATCCTATCACTGCCTGCTTCCCATACATGTGAAATACACATTGCAAACAATTTTGTGGTACTTTTAAATTAATGTACTAGCTAGTAACTGACAAATTCATGTATTATCATTTTAGATTCTATAGTTATGGCCATTACATAAGGGTAAATAATTATTCAACAATTCTCTTTGGAGAACACTGATTGATTGATTGCTTTTTGTTTCGTTTCAACATTTGTAAACCCCAAATAGAATGCCTTTGTGTATCTTAAATGATTGATCTTGGCTTACTTCCTGAATAAATTTCATTTAAGTAAGTGTTACAAGTCAGTACTTACACAAACATGGGAAATTTGATGGGGCTGGTCTTTTCTGAAGACCAGTGTTTTTAAAGGCCACTACAACACTTGATATTTGCTGAACTGTCTGCAATAAGCCTTCAACTCACTTTACGCACATATACATTTTTGTCTTATACAATACATTACCACAAAAACACACATTCATTCTATGTTCCAGTTCCCTTAATCAATTTTCACCATGGACTGTACTTAACAAACATGTCCAATCAATTATTTATAAAGTAAACTATACACTGAGTGCCATTTTCTAGTAAGTCATTTAAATGAGAGTACATCATGGTGAGACTATAACAATATAGACACAAATTATCATAGTGTCGAATTCAAATATTTTCTACTTCTAATAGTTACACCTCAAATCACAGAAAATCATCCATTTTCCAAAGGAAACAAATTATTTAAATCCATTTCATGCTTCTTCATTTATAATACACTGGGACGCAATGAAAAAGTACCACTGATTTCACTCTAAGTCTAAGTGCTGGAGAGACATAATGCAATTGAAATATGATTTTTGGCATGATAGTAGGTTGGACAGTTAACAACATGAGAAAATCAACAATCATCCACCCAAGGAGGCCTTACAGTGAAATGTAGGCACGGTGAAGTGTAGGTGGCACTGATGAACATCTCACGGTAGCAGCATGCGATCTTGCACAACAATGCATTGCTGTCTAGGCCTTGGCCAATCTAGTGGACGATCCACCAGTCTCAGTTTGGTACTGTAATGGCATCTAAGCCTTCAGCTACAATTAGTACAATCTATTTAAAATATAAATCTATATTTCGTTTCGTTTTTTATACTTTCGATTGCCTACACTACATGTAGATCTAACAAGTTATAGTGGGAGTTCACGTTCTATGACGTCAGGTACCAAGCAAGCGACATTTGACCCGATTACGCCAGTCATTCAAGTAACCAATTAGCGACCGCCATGTATTTTTAAATATCTACTTTTGCTTTGTTTTGATTTCTATTGCCGCTAATGTCTACCCACAGTTCTACGCAAAAAAGGTCAAACGCCCGATTCGACAGACCATTTGATTGGCTGACCCCTCATTTCAAGCAGAACACGAGTTAAACAACAACGCTTCCAGATCCAAGTGTAGTAAAGACAAGTAAAATCGAAATTTAGAACTATAAAAACGAAACGAAACGAAATTGGATCTGTGTTTTAATCAGATTGCCTTCGGCTACAGCTCTGGTACTCATCCTCTCTTGAATTAATACATGGTGCATTCTTTGTGTTCAGGTATCAACTTTGGCATATTGTTGCATCTTCCACAGATTTTAATTTTTATACCCCTTATCTGCACCATAAAAATGTGATTTTGAATTCTCATTCTGCCAAATTAAAAATATTTGGAGAGAATTGACCTGTATTGAGAATATGCCATTATAAAAAAAATAATTCTCACATATTACCATCGTGATCTGATATTGTTACATATTTTAACTGTATCTTTGAATATATAAGGCTGTTATTACCAAGTATTCAATGTTGATTGGTATCACATGTTCCAGAAAGAGCATTTACAATTGAATATCATAGACTAAGTTGCGGGATGGAAGGCAACAATGGTACAGATGTTTTGGCTCAAAAAAAATTGTTGACTTTTATATGATCATATCTTAATACCAAAATCTGTGCCAAAGACAAACTGAATTCCATCGCAAATATAGAGGATATTTGTCGTTTTGTCGTGAATAACATATTTTATTTCATCTCTAAGCAAGAAAACTTATATTTTCACGAATATATAAGTTTTCTTGCTTCTCGAAGGAATAAAATATGTTATTCACGACAAAACGACAAATGTTCTATTTATTTTATGATTTTACAATCATTTTGGGTAAAAACAACATGGACTACTTTAGCCAGTGGAATAACACTTTTATTTCACTGATAAAACGTGGTATTCCACTACTGATCATAAAATAAACCCTGTTATTTGATTTCATGATTATATTTTTATTCATGGTAGTTTGTCCAAGAGTGTGTTTTGGATAATCTCTTATGAGAGAGTTAGCTTCTGATTTGCTGGTGATTCCTTCTTAATAATTTGGACAAATGGGAGTAATTTTATCAGTAAATTATGTCTCTTTATATCTTTGTCGACTTTGTGACACATTACATAGAGACAAAGAAGATAGTCAAATAGAGAGCAACAATCACGAATAAAATCACTTCATGGTTAATCTTTCCTCCATCTCGTTTACTAGGCTGTCATTCTGAGATACGTAATTGATCAATAACACTGCATAGAAAAGCAGTGCTTCATTGCCACCAGAAAATTATCTTCTTTTTGAAGAATGAACATCATTATACAATATGATGACCGTCTGTGATACAAATCAGGAAACAGAAACACAAAAACTGTCTTCATAGATGCAAGCAATGAGCCGATTTAATTCCCTTCAACTTTTGATACCATATTCATTCAAAAACCATTCATCGGCCGTCAGTACCTCTTTAAACCATACAATAAGAAAACTCGTTGGAATTACTTTATCATTCAAGCAAAGCAAATCAAGTTCGCTTCCTAAAAAATTGGGTTTGAATGGTAAAGAAAAAGAACTGTAGATGTAAATATTTATTCTGAAGAACTGTTTTCCCTAATTTGTTTTCCTGTTTTACAAAAAAAAACAAATTATCTCTCAATTCATCTAGAAATTATACTTCCAATGCAAGAAAAGTTAACAAATTTCATCCAATTAGTTTTAGCATAAATATTACAGTAAATGGAATTTTTCTAAAGATTGGTTATGCCATCACAAGATATTTAAAACTGATCATATACACATGGCTGTTTGTAATGAACTGCACACATCAGTCAATCATATTCCCAACAGCCAATGAAGCAATTAAGAACTTGAGCATCTTGGTGTGAAATCTACAACTCAGAATTATTCAATCATGACTATGACTTTTCATAGTCCACAAAAAATGCTTTCCATTTTTAGAACACAGATCATTCTCCCTAAATCAATCAATACTATGTTCATGCATTAAGTTTTGTATAATTTGGCCTAAACATGTCTTGAAACATATTTTAACCCAATCCAATTAAACTTTTTTTTTTCATTTCCTTTTCTTTCATTTTCTATTATATTATGTATATGATACTTTACTGGACTGAATTTTACATGTTGTGTTCTTACTTGTGTACTATAAACAACCAATGAAAATTCAGCTTTTCAAATCACATCCATTGATCTATATATATATTTGTGACTGTCGTTTGTCTGTCTGTCTGTTTGTTCGGGGTTGGCGGCTACACTAGGTCTGCCCCGAGTCTGAAATATGGCGTATAGGGGTAGCTCGGACCGAGGAGTTACATAGGCCAGGTGGCGTTAGTCTACCCCTTCCGGTTTCGGAGTTATGACCCCGAGCGAAGCCGGTCTGTTCGGGCTTGGCGGCTACACTAGGTCTGCCTCGAGTCTGAAATTTGGGGTATAGGGGTAGCTCGGACCGGGGAGTAACATAGGCCAGGTGGCGTTAGTCTACCACTTCCGGTTTCGGAGTTATGACCCCGAGCGAAGTCTGTTTGGGGTTGGCGGCTACACTAGGTCTGCCCCGAGTCTGAAATCTTCGGGTATAGGGGTAGCTCGGCCCAGGGAGTAACATAGGCCAGGTGGCGTTAGTCTACCACTTCCAGTTTCGGAGTTATGTCTGTCTGTTCGGGGTTGGCGGCTACACTAGGTCTGCCCCGGGTCTGAAATTTGGGGTATAGTTGTAGCTCGGACCGGGGAGTAACATAGGCCAGGTGGTGTTAGTCTACCACTTCTGGTTTCGGAGTTATGACCCCCGAGCGAAGCCGGGTATCCTGCTAGTAACTTTATAAACTCACTAAAGTCTCATCCAAAACATAGCCAATGGCAGATGTTCCAAATATATATCAACTAACAAACTAATTATATGTAGTGTAATGAACTGAAGACATTATTCAAATTAGACTGATTTGATCTTAAATTATGTATAATATAGAAAGAAAAACTGGGAGTATTGATGATAAAAATTGAATGTAAACCAAACAGCTATCTTAACATCATTTTGTCCCACTACCAGTAGATAAATATATAAAAAAAAAAATCTGAAACTATTACATTGGTATAATTATTTGACTTACCTCAGTCTACCATCTTGTGCAGCACCTCCCCCTGGAATTATTTTAGTAATAAATATGGCAGGATCGTCACCAATATGAGGATTATCAGTTCCACCAGCAATACTGAATCCTAGACCTGTTGTACCCTAAATTTATATAAAATTAAAGGAATAAATTTACTTGCTACATCATCCTGAAAATCTGATCTTGTTAGACCTGTATTATAAAAGTGATATCATGTCTACCGGTTCTAATAGTCAAACTACAAAACTAAACTACTGCATGAGCAACAGCCATACACAGAACTAATAGTAATTATTTGAATATCCAATATAAAATAAACAAATTTGACCAATTTATTAAAGGTGTCATCATTTTTTAAAACTTTGATACCATGTAATGAAGGGTAGCACAGGAACCAGGGTATGTTGAATGTATTTTGATCTAAATAGCTGTATCACATTCTGCTAGAATATAGAAACAGAGGAACTACCTTCATTACTTCAAGTTTTATATGCAAAAATACATTTCACATGTGCAGTACGTACTCCCCCATTGTTCAATCAACAGTGAGAAAATAACAGTTGACAACCGGACAATTTCGAGGTCTTTAAAACCTGTATTCTATCAAATTTCATAGTTTGAAACAGCCATCAAATCAAATTTCAATCATGTTGCCTGATAGTGATATGAAACATGGTTACTTGAAACCTACAAATGATCAATTATCCAGATCAACCATGATAGTTAACAGCTAATATTTATTGCTCTCAATTGGGGTTGTTCCATTTTAACAAATGTTAGTTCTTGAGAGAGTTTAAATTTTAACAAGTATTGGTTTTTAAAGTCTATTTTCCAACAACACAGATGGCTAACTTTTCTGAGTGTTAATGTGATGATAAATTTACCGTTATTGGTATTCTTGTATGGGAAAATCAGACAATTTTTACACCTTCAATGAATTGGTGCTATATTGTGATCAATTTAACCTGAATCCTAATGAGACCCAAACAATTGATTTTAGTCAAAGTCTTTTATCATTTTCGAGAGATGGATAGAGAACAAGCTAACAAGAAAGTGATTTTTCCTTCAATCAAGGGCCATAATTCAGGAAATTACAATTCGATATGCGCGAATATCGAAAGGAACCAAGATCTTTGGGTTATAAACTTACATTTCAAGTTTCAACAAAATTGGATAAAAATTGTGACCTCTATAGGGTCCACAACCTTGATATACCGTATTTTTATGCTATTTCAGAACGAACGGCGACCATTTTGTCTGTCAATTTTGGGCCGATTTTCACGAAATTCGAACTCAGCCTTCCTTAGGGTGTAACGGTGATATAATAATACGGTTTTTTAAATCGGATAAAAATTATGACCTCTATAGGGTCCACAAGCTAAAAACGAGATTTTTCCTACAATCAGGGGCCATAATTCAGGAAGTTACAGTCCGATATGCGCGAATATCGAAAGGAACCAAGATCTGTGGGTTATAAACTTACATTTCAAGTTTCAACAAAATCGGATAAAAATTGTGACCTCTATAGGGTCCATAAGCTAAAAACGTGATTTTTCGTACAAACAGGGGCCATAATCCATGAAGTTTCGGTCCGATACCTGCCAATATCGAAAGCAGCCTAGATCTTTTGGAGATAAACCTATATGTCAAGTTTAATCAAAATCGGATAAGAATTGTGACCTGTAGAGTGTCCATAAACAATTGTGGACTGACGGACAGGGGCGACGACAATATACGTCCACATGAAAATGTGGGCGTATAAAAATGAATGACAAGATATCCGTGATGCAAACATGTTCTATATAAACCATGACAACACCCTTAATCTAAGTTCAGAACAAAAAAAAATACTTTGACTTACTCTTTCTAATATAATTTCTTCGTGTTCCCATTCACCCTCACCATTTGTCTGTTTAAAAATAATTTCATTTCACAATCATACAATCATGTATAACATCTTAGTACCAGTATTTATAATTAAATACATAAAGGTTTTAATAATTAAAATTCTAAATATTCTAATGAACTCATGTACCAAGTCTATAGTTCAGCCCTTTCTTTAATGTGAAAATATTATTGCCAGGGCTCACATTTTCTGTCGTTAGACTCACTATTTGCAAAATGAAATTGAAAGTTGCAATTAAAATTAAAGTCTTAAAATTCTAATCTTTTTTATCGTGACGTGACCATGCATTATGCCCAGTGTCACAAACACGGTTGGCTGCATACTATAAATTATTTAACTGATCATTGTTTACCCATAATAATTAAAGGTGCATTATGTAGGATTTAGATAAAGAGCTGACAGTTCTTGCTATAATAGTTAAAAAATAGATAATGACAAGGAAAATTGCTTCATTCTGAGCAGAGATAATGCAGTTAGAAGAACAGTATAGTCTCAAGTGTCATTGTTACTGTTGTTACAAGTTATATGTATAGGGCATGTTTTTTTTAAAGTGTACCATAGGTTCCCAATCCCATCTGAATTATGAAATTCCAATTCCTCTTACAAAATCCCTGTCTCAGGGAAGATTGATACATATTCTTCCAAAATATATTTTAAAAAAGATAATTTTTCGCAAAATAATTTTTTTATTGAACATTATACCTAACATATTGAAATTTTTTGAATCGTATCACTCTAGATGAAATTATATCAAATGCAAACAATGCACATTAAAATTAATATAAATAGCAATCTCTATAGGTAGAATATACATTGAATTGTTAAATGAATGAAGATGCTATTATTTTTGGGTCATAAGACAGTAAAGATGACCATTTTAGTAAATATAAAATGTCTCTTTTGAATTGGACAGACGCATGGCACATTTATTTTCCTTTCAGATATTAACTGTTGCTTTATATTAATAATTTTCTTCAAAAGTTTAATGTAATAATAAATTATTTAAATCTGAAGTTTCATGGGATATAATTTAAAAAATAATTGCATTGCTAATGTTACATGTGGACAGACATTCTGGCAGATTTGTAACATTAGCACTAAAGTTTGAAGAAAATTTCTATTTATAGTGTTGATGTAAGTAGTTACTGAGATTTTTTACATGCTAAATAAAGCATAATATTACGAATTTAAGATTAATATAACAAAATATAATCATATATTTTAATAACCTAAAATTTAAACATTTATCAGGCATGCAACTGTTGCTAACGTTACATAAGGACAGACGTGGACATTTTATAAATAACTGTATTACTTGAATTATTGTTTTTATCTAAAAAATAAAAATAGTCCGCAATGAAAGGTATTAATAAATTGTATAATATTTCTACCCTTGGGTTAGTTTTAAATTTAAAATCAGACAAAAGGTATTTTAAAAGTACGTGCTAACGTTACGTAAGGACAGACGGTTTATTTAATCGGTCTGACAATTGACACGTTAGCACTTTTATGCGGGGGTCAATGTCATTTTGATCGAGTGAATAAGGCGAGAATGCCGACCGCCATGTTTATGCATCGGGAATCGGAAAGACGGTTTTCTTTTCTAAAGGCCGTAAAGAAAGTGATACATTTTGAGTAAATAACGCCGTGAAAGGCGAATTAGTGGTGCTAACGTATCAAGAGTGCTAATTAACGTTAACATTTTCGGAGAGACAACTGTAAAAATGGCATAATCAATCGACTACCCGTGTCAAATTATCCGTATCCTGTGTGGAAGATCGAGACTACACTCACGCTTCGTTTGCAGCGGTTATTCAAATTCTATCACGTTATATGAAGCCGAAAAGAAATATTAAAATAATGCTAACGTTTCACTAAAACTGGACAGACATCAATTTGACGAAACGTTAGCAATATATAAGCATGGAAATTTGATTTTCCAAACCATTTTCCTGCTTTTTTTAAATGGCATATACTAAAACATAAACAGCCATTCCACAAATGGACAAATATATTTCCACGTAAAAATACAAAGTTTACAAAACAAATGTAAGACCACTTCAATTATGTAGTGGATGGACAGACTAGTCAAATTTTCACTGGGGTTTGAACAATTCAATTTTTGGAACTTATTTTTCTCATCAGTACATTTTTAAGTCTGTTTTAAAGAAGACACACTTGCCATTATAATTATACAAAAATAAATTAAAAATTTTAAAACAAATGTTATGTCAATGTAATCTAAAATCTTGGTAAAAAATGATGGGAAAAATGTCTGTCTTAAATGATGTAATTCATTAAAATATTTTTAACCTTTTTTAATAAAAAAAATACATCAATAAACCCGGTATTAAGTATTTTATATGTTCAATATATATGCTGATTTTGAAGATAAAAATATTTAAAAACTCTTTTTCTCTTTTCTAATAAAACCATTACATTTGTTAGATACCCACTGGTACACTTTATAATAAAACACGCCATAGCACGGCTTTCATGAATTAATAGGTTTAAACATTGAGGCCGTAGGCTGAGATGTTAAACCTGTTAACGAATGAAGCATGTTATAAATGACTTGTACCACTGACACCTGCTCAACATGCTTGTTGTTATTGCAGAGAAAACCCACTCCACTTCTCTATATGATTTCTAATAAAACAAGCCAGCAATGAGGCTGATCTCAACTGCCGAAATCCCAAAATAAATAGATGACACATATTAATTAATCACATTTTTATTTTATTTATAAGTTTCATCGCTCTCTATCAGATAGAATCAAGATTATCTTGTTCCAAAGCATCTACCAATGAAATTGATTAGCTCTGCTCAGCTTCAGCTTGAAATGTTAATCATTGAACTCTGTCAAGACATTCACCTAATGAACATCTACATTAAGTTTAAACATTCTACCTCAATTAAAAGCAGAGTTGTTATGTTCCAAAGTCTTGACCAATCAAATTGTTTATTGTTCCTTAGGTTAAGCAGAAAATTCTCACCATCGAACTTAGTCATGGTAATGATATCATGAATCTATATTCAGAGTTTCTTCGCTCTCACTTTATTATAACCAAAGGTATCGTGCGTGCCCCAAAGCATCAACCAGTCAGATTGCTTATCTCTGCTTACCAAAAGCAGACAATGTTCACCATCAAACTCCCTCAAGGCATTCACCTAATGAACGCCTACACCAAGTTTGAACATTCTGCCTCAATTAGAAGGAGAGTTATTGTGTTCGAAAGTCTCGACCAATCAAATTACTTATAGCTCTACTTACCCTCAGCAGAAAATATTTAGTCAAGGTATTGATGTAATAAAGCTATACATCAAGTGCCCTCTCACTTAATTAGAACTAAGTTATCGTGTCCCAAAGCATCAACCAATCAAATTGCTTATCTCTGCTTACCCTAAGCAGAAAATTCTCATCTTCGAACTCCATCAAGGCATTGGCATAATAAACACCGACACCAAGTTTGAAGATTCTAGCTCGATTAGAAGGAAAGTTATTGTGTTCCAAATTCTCGGCAAATCAAATTGCTTATCGCTCTGCTTACCCTGAGCAGAAAATGCTCATTATCGAACTTAGTCAAGGTATTGATGTAATGAAACTATACACCAGGTTTCATCACTCTCGTTTAATTTGGGGGGATCACGTGGCTAAGTGGGTAAGGCGCTGGCTCGCTAGCCTGGAGGTCGGGTGTTCGATCCCTGCATTGACCGAGAAAATTCATCCAGATTTTCCGGCGTGGTTCCCCCTTGTCAGTGATACAGGACGGAGGGCCTGACAAGGACAGCTGTCTAGTCCTTCGGATGAGACGAAAAAACCGAGGTCCTGTGTATACATTGGAATGCATGTAAAAGATCTCATGGCAGTTGGAATTCGATATAAGAGTAGGCGATAGTGCCGCTGCCCGGGCAAAATCATAGCACACTGTATGGCGTATGCCCGTCTTCATTAGCCCAGGTTAGGAGCAGAACAGTAGGACGTTCAACCCCATTTCATTTCATTTCATTTCGTTTAATTAGAACTGAAGTTATCGTGTCCCAAAGCATCAACCAATCAAATGGCTTATCTCTGCTTACCCTAAGCAGAAAATGCTCATATTCAAACTCCATCAAGGCATTGACCTAATTTTAGTAATAAAAACCTACACCAAGTTTGAATATTCTAGCTCAATTAGAAAGAGAATTATTGTGTCTCAAAAAGATGTGTGACTGACAGACGGACGAACCCATTTTAATAGTCCCCTGCACTTCGAAAGGCGGGTGACAACTAGTGTAAACCAATATCATTGAACATGTCTAGTTATTGCATGGTTAAGCTCCACCCAATCTACTAGAGGGAAAACAATCTGCTTATTCAACGAAAAGAACGAAAAGAACAAAGGAAGATTTCCCGTCCATGTTACAAGGTCTTGATTATCCATTTTTGAATTAAATCATTACTTAGCAATCATGTTTAAATACGTTGAAAATCAAAAGCATTCGATGGTCTAGAGCGTTGATTATGGACATGGCATGTGAATAAATGTCTTAATTAATGATTTATAGAATATTTGAGGCCAAATGAAAGATCTGCATTAGGAAGATTTAACTCTTTAATAATGCATCTTTAATCCAAGCCAATAGATTTATTGCGATTTTTGTAATTTAAAAAATAATGGGGAAATATTTTTTAAAAAATGACAATTCTTTACAAAGATATATAGATGTTTAGTTAGTTGAATTTTGTTTTCTGTGGCTTCATGCAGTATTTATCAGCAAGGCCAATTGGACATTAGTATTTCACATTAGTCTATCACTATGGGTCGAATATGTAAGAGCAAGTCAAATAGAAGACTGTCTGCCTTTTTTTCATTATTGCATCCAGCATGTTTTAAAGTCATTCATGAGTAAGAAGTAAGCTCTACTTGACCAAATGGAATTTAAATTTTTATCAATGATTCGGATTCTGATACAAATCGATATGCACGAATATCGAAAGGAACCGAAATCTTTGGGTTATAACCTTACCTTTCGAGTATTGACAACGAGGGGCGGCCATTCTGTCTGTCTGTTTTGGGCTGATTTTCACAAAAATCGAAATCAATCATCCTTAGGGTGTAACGGTGACATACTAAAACGCTTTTTTAAATCAGATAAAACTTATGACCTCTATAGGGTCCACAAGCTAAAAACATGATTTTTCGTACAATCAGGGGCCATAATTCAGGAAATTATGGTCCGATATGCGCGAATATGGAAAGGAACTAAGATCTTTGGGTTATAAACATATATTTCAAGTTTAAACCAAATCGGATAAAAATTGTGACCTCTACAGTGTTCACAAGCTAAAAACGTAATTTTTTGTACAATCAGGGGCCATAATCCATGAAGTTACAGTCCTATACATGCCAATATCGAAAGGAACTGAGATCTTAGGGTGATAAACCTATATTTCAAGTTTCGTTGAAATCGGATAAGAGCATACATGCCAACCTGAGGAGATTGAAAATCAGAATGTCTTGTATTGAGGGTAGAGCGAGGACCGCAGGTCCAAATTCGATCGGTGCGAAGCACCGTGAGCGCTGGAGGCCCCGCAAGCGCCGGAGGCTTGAAGGGCCCGCCTAAGGGCCCCAAGAAAATGTTGAGAAATAAGCACCTATTTAAAGCAGTACCTTGTATTATTGGATAAAAACAGCTGGTGATTTAGGTCCATGCATCTGATGTTTTTTTTACCTATTTATATACGAAAGTATGCATATATGCTTTTGGTCATTTACATGTAGGCATGAACTAAATTTGTTGTTAAGTGAATATAATAGATTACCATTAGCTATGTGCTTAGTTGGGATCGACATTAAGTATATAAACTATGTTAGTTAAAGGGGTAGTCCTAAATAATCCAGGCCTCGAGTTAAGAAAGAAAAAAATCCCAGTTAATATTTTTGCTCAAAGTTGACAATAAATATCGACCTTGATGTACACAAAAATGTTCTCAAATTGTCTTGTGAATTGTAAGAGGCTACTTAAAACATAATTACTGTATAAGAGATGTACTGTTTAAAATAGTTTAATGTAATAATAATATTCATATTATTTAACCTTAAAATAAATTATAAATCTCACATTTCTTCAACAATGTGTCTTTTTAAAACACTTATGAAGTTATGACTAGATCCAAAATCAAGTAATCCCGGTATTTTTGTCTGACATTTGATTTGGAAGCCATTTTGTTTGTCTTGACGACCAAAACGGAAGTAGAAGTCGTAAATTATTTATACTGGGTTTTATTTATAATTGTAATTTGTTTTTTTCACACATGGAAAACAGCTTGAAAACATTTTTTATCAAGTCAGAAGGAAATATGGCTAACAACGTTACTGTGGCAACTAACGGTAAACCCGCCGTGTACTGTACGAGTGTATGCAAGAATGGCTCCAAGTAGCAAATAATATCCGCGAAGCAAATAATATCCGTGAAGTATGCAAATTAGGCACGGCCAATGACGAAATAACCACATGACATTTTAATCTCGATTAGTCCAGACATATTAGCTTATTCCATTTTATATTAATAATAATCGAGAAAACTGGAGACATGTTTTCGGCTATTTCCGTCGTTTTACCGCGAATTATGCAAATTAGACACGGCAAATGATGGAAATAACCACATGACATTTTGATCTTGATTAGTCCAGACATAATAGCTTATTCCATTTTATATTAATCATAATAAGGAAAACATGACACATGTTTTCGACTATTTTCGTTGTTTTACCGACTCATACTACGATAAACAGTATCGCCATCAGATTCACAACAAACAGCGAGAATGCCGAGACAGTCGTCAATGTAAAAATAAAACGAGAGGGATTTTATCAATCAAAAAGGTCAGGAATGAAATATAATAAATTTTTTCCAATAAATTTTAAAAAACGGAATTATAAAGAGTAAAATCGGAATTCAGAATTAGACTCAGAAAATTGGAATGATTCCTACAAAATCGGAATAGTTGGCATGTATGTAAGAGTTGTGACCTCTAGAGTGTTCACAAACAATTGTGGACAGACTGACAGAGGCGACAACAATATACGTCCACATGAAAATGTGGGCGTATAAAAACTGGTAATTTGGCAATCCTTGGCTGAGATTTTATGCGTAAAGCAAAGTTATTACTTGCATCATTGTATCGGTCCATATACGAGAAATAGAATGAGCATTTGATTAAGCAGTTTAATCTAACAAATCACATAAAGGGGATCCACATTTACTAATAGGTAGCGGTACATATTTTGTCTGTGTCCTCAGCATGAAAACAGAAAGAAAACAACTATCTAATTACAATTTAAATTGAGGTAGCGGTACATATTTTGTCTGTGTCCTCAGCATGAACACAGAAAGAAAACAACTATCTAATTACAATTTACATTGTCTGAACTTCTTAAATTTCTAGCTCAACCTTAAGTTCTATAGAAATATCTATAGTGAAACCATACAAAATAAATCAAGCAGTAATAACCAACAAGTAATTAAAATCAACAGTGTGACTTACAGTTACTCAAATTCAATTATGGTACATAATTATATACTTACAAATTCTGAATCGGCCGTTTCCGAACCCTCAGGCTGAAAAAAATATATAAGGCCAATAATTAAATTGATGAAATCAATGATCACAACGCAGAAAATAAAAAGTATGATTTGTTATCTATCTCCTATAAATCTTAGTAAATTTATAGTGTATAATTGAAGGGGAAGTGGGGGAACAACTATAGCATGTTTTATAAAAGTAAATCAATTCTAACACTGTTTGTCTAGCTTCAAGTAAACTAATGTTTGCAATCATTTCATTAAAATAGTCTGATTACAAATCTCCTGTGAAATGTCTTAAGTTTATATTCTTTAGTAGAATCTGACACATTTATAAAATGGCATTAAATCTTCAATATCAAGGGGCTTAACTCTACTGATCACAAGTGCTCTAAAAGGAATCTGAAGATGTCTCTATGTATGGTATCAAACTTGAAAATAAATTGGGTAAATCAATGCATAAACTGTTTTCTATTGTATTGGTAATTGGGATATTGTTGGCTTCATACTGATTTTGTATAAATTAGATTGAAAATCATTGAAATATTTTTAGCTTAATGATTTATAAATATGGTTTCTGTTATTATTGCTGTACATGTTATTACAAGACAAGAACTGAATCAACAATGTCCAATCCTACAATCTGTTTGTTTACTACATTCCAGACCCGTCAACCCCTCAGAGCTGAAATGCAGTAGGGTAGTGTAAAAAATGCAGTAGAAACCATGATTTGGCAGTATATTCCCAAAAACGCGTAAATTCGCACTTCCTCTCAATGTACGGGATTTCTTTCTCCCATGATTGCGTAAATCTGCTTTTATATTTATTCGAGAGAGTGTTCCATGTAAGTCAGTACCGGCGAGACGTATTCTCATGTTGAAATAACGACTAAATATTGGTATCAATTTAATCATGCCCCCCCATGGCAATTATCCTCTCAATGTACGGGATTTCTTTCTCCCATGATTGCGTAAATATGCTTTTATATTTATTCGAGAGAGTGTTCCATGTAAGTCAGAATCGGCGAGACGTATTCCCATGTTGAAATGAAATATCCAGATTGTGTTGCATTCAAAGTATTGTATTAGATACTGTACGTACGCGCGCAAGAGAAAATGTTAGCCATTGCTGCCGTAAATTTGTCGCTATTTGTTTAGTTTATCGCTACGCATTTTAAGAGTATTTGGAACACTTGCCAATAATTATATCCACTTTATTTACTCTAGCTAAAATAGATTGAAAAAAAAATTGAGAACAAATCTCTTAGCTAAATTACACCTTACAATATCCCAAATCGATGCTGATAGCCGAAAGTCGTGATCTTTATTGTTTACATGCAAAGAGTTGCTTCCCTTAGTTCCATAGTTTTGGTGAGAAAATTAAAAAACTCTTTGTTTGAAAATGCGGTAGAAATCTATTACCGCGCAGTAGAGCGGTACATGAGGCCTTTTCACGGCACTTTACCGCGTGATGTGGTAGAGTTGACAGGTCTGCTACATTCAATCATATTTTTAATTCAATCTTGCATGTACAAATTTGTCTTTGCCGTTATAAAGCAATATTATTTCCGTGACATTAAAGCTTGTTAACTGGTGTCCTGACCTATTTCATTACTCTTTATCCATAATGAAATCTTTCAGACATAGCTTCGCCGATTAAATCCCTACAAGCTAAAGAAGTTAATTGTTGGTAAAATTGTATGACAACCATTCAGTACTACCATGGTTTTTCTTATAACAATCCGATTCCACCAACAACACATTCTCTATACTCCTAATTGTGTCCGTCATTTACAAACTAGTCTTTTCAGTTGTTTAACTTAATCAGTTTGCGGTCAGGAATGTCTGTGAGGTAGGGTTGTTTTTGTTTACTGGGAGGGGGGAGGGGCACGCATGCTTCCAAATCACTACTTTTGACAATTCTGGAAGAACTGGGAAAATATTCCCTCAATGTGGAGACAACAAAGTAAATCTCTTAAGAATTGTGTTCCTAGTTATTATATCTAAGGTTGTATTATACATATTAGTTTGCATGCATAAAACCAACCACCTATGACATTTAAAATGCTGAATGCTAAATCCATGATTCTGTCGCAATGTCGCCATGGTATGCCAGAACATTTACTACAATTTATTCACAGGATGAGCTTAAGTTGATGACCTAATTCATACTGATTTACTTGAATACCCATTAAAGCAAAAAAAAAAAATCAAACATTTTATAAGATTAAATACTAAAAAATAAGATGGCAGTGTCAGCTCTGGATAAAGGATGAAATTATGTGTGTGACCAGAATATCAATGAGTTCAAATGATTTTTTTGTAGCTGAAGAAGTCAATTTGAAAAGAAAACTTTTAATAACTATGGTACACTTAACTAAATCAAATCAGTCATGTTTGAAAGATACTAAAATAAATTTGTGTGCTTATAAAAACATTTTAGTGGTAGTCTATTCATTATGGACATCAATGGGATACAGACTCAGGATGTGTGGTTATTCATCCATTGTGTATACTATTCAGAAAAACTTTACTGAAATTTAAAGATTAAATCTACCAATATGTGTACAAAAAAGATTTAGAAAGTTGCTGTAATTGAAGAAATAGGAGCCAATACTTGATGTCAAATATCTGTACACAAATGCTATCAGAAGTTTACATACAGACTACTAAATGTTCAGCTGTGTATTTACTTTGAAGCTTAAAGCTACCTTCAGACATGCACATTCTATAATTATCTGAGGAAAATGAAACAGTGCTATCAGTTTTTCTTGTGCCTTGTTTTTTGAATTCAAGATAAGAGCAACAAGCCAACAGTGAGGCTGATGTCCCCCGCCGAAATAGGAAAATAATTAGAGGACACATATAAAAATCAAATTGCGTATCGCTCTGCTTACCCTGAGCAGAAAATGCTCATTATCAAACTTATTCAAGGTATTACTGTAATGAAACTATACACCAAGTTTCATCAATCTCACTTAATTAGAACTAAAGTTATCGTGTCCCAAAGCATCAACCAATCAAATTGCTTATCTCTGCTTACCCTAAGCGGAAAATGCTCATCTTCGAACTCCATCAAGGCATTGACCTAATCAACACATACACCAAGTTTGAACATTCTAGCCCAATTAGGAAGAGAGTTATCGTGTCCCAAAGCATCAACCAATCAAATTGCTTATCTCTGCTTACCCTAAGCGGAAAATGCTCATCTTCGAACTCCATCAAGGTATTGACCTAATAAACACATACACCAAGTTTGAACATTCTAGCTCAATTAGGAAGAGAGTTATTGTGTCCCAAAAAGTGTGACGGACAGACAGACGGACAGACAGACGGACGGACGGACCGACAGACAGACAGACAGACAGACGAACCCATTTTAATAGTCCCCTGCTTTCTTCGAAAGGCGGGGGACAATATGCAAACAGTCCGACTTTGTAAAAGACCAGCGGATGCCAGACAGGATAAGCCCACATTTTTCAAGAGATGGATAGAGAACAAGCTAAACAAAAAGTGATTTTTCTTAACATCAAGGAAGGTACAATCAGATATGTGCGAATATCGGCTGGAACCAAGATCTTTGGGTTATAAACATGCATTTCAAGTTTCATTAAAATTGGATCAAAATTTTGACCTCTAAAGGGTCCACAACCTTGATAGACCAGATGTTTACACTATTTGCGTTGCGGGGCGGCCATTTTGTCTGGCAGAGTTTGTCCGATTTTCACGTAATTCGAACTCAACCAGCATTACTGTGTAACGGTGATATATTTGAACTTTTTTGTAAATCAGATAATAATTGTGACCTCTTGAGGAACCACAAGCTAAAAACATGATTTTTCGTACAATCAGGGGCCATAATTCAGGAAGTTACGATCCGATCTGTGCGAATATCGACATGAACCAAGATCTTTGGGTTATAAACATGCATTTCAAGTTTCATCAAAATCGGGTGAACATTGTGACCTCTAAAGATATACGAGGGGCGGCCATTTTGTCCGGCAGTTTTGGTCCGATTTTCACTAAATTCAAACTCAACCATCATTAGGGTGTAACGGTGGTATAATGAAATGTTTTTTTTAAATTGGATAAAAAATGTTAACTCTAGAGGGACCACAAGCTTAAAATGCAATTTTTCAAACGATCAAGGGCCATAATTCAGGAAGTTACGATTTTGTCTGTCAGTTTTAGGCCGATTTTAACGAAATTCGAACTCAGCCATCCTTAGGGTGTAACGGTGATATAGTAAAACGTTTTTTTAAATCGGATAAAAATTATGACCTCTATAGGGTCCACAAGCTAAAAACGCGATTTTTCGTACAATCAGGGGCCATAATTCAGGAAGTTAGGGTCAGATATGCGCGAATATCGAAAGGAACCAAGATCTTTGGGGTATAAACTTGTATTTCAAGTTCCATCAAAATCAGAAAAAAATTGTGAACTTTAGAGGGTCCACAACATTCATATACCTTATTTTTATGCTATTTGAGTACAAGGGGCGGCCATTTTGTCTGTCAGTTTTGGTCCAATTTTTATGAAATTTGAATTCGGCTATCTTTAGGTGTAACGGTGATATAGTATAACTGTTTTTTAAATCGGATAAAAATTATGATTTCTATAGGTTCCACAAGCCAAAATCGCAATTTTTCGTATAATCAGGGGCCATTATTCAGGAAGTTAAGCTCCGATATTCGCGAATATCGAAAGGAATTGAGACCTTTGGGTTATAAACTTACATTTCAAGTTTCAACAAAGTCGGATAAAAATTGTGGGTTCTAGAGGGTCCACAACCTTAATATACCATATTTTTACACTATTTGACGAGGGGCGGCCATTTTGTCTGTCAGTTTTAGGCCGATTTTAACGAAATTCGAACTCAGCCATCCTTAGGGTGTAACGGTGATATAGTAAAACGTTTTTTTTTAAATCGGATAAAAATTATGACCTCTATAGGGTCCACAAGCTAAAAACGCGATTTTTCGTACAATCAGGGGCCATAATTCAGGAAGTTAGAGTCAGATATGCGCAAATATCGAA